TTACTCCCTTTATCTCTCTCTTTACTAGCTTTAAAGGTGGAAAAAAAAATCCCACATGCAAGTCTCAAAATCACACTGAACAACACACAGTTTTTACTAGGCAGGCCAACCATATACTGATGAGCAGGTTGTGCACTGCACAAGAGCACCCAGCCAAGGAAGCAAGGAGAGGCTGACATGTACCCCGTACCCTGCTTGGAAAAGGGGCCCCATTATTCTTCACACAAAAGTAACTGCTACTCTAAAAGGGTCCAACCTGTGCAGCTGTACCACCCAAAAGTGCTGCCCATAATTCAATTTTAGATAATCTTCCTAGCAGTATTTGGAGAGCTAGAGAATTCCCCAAGGAAACTGGGGTTTTCTTTTGCTAATTTATAAATGGTGAAATCTGGCTGCAAATACTAGAATGAACGAATCCCTCTGGCAGCCTCCGGCACTCCTAATCAAGTTTTTTCTTTGTGGAATACAACTAAATGAAAAGAAGTGTACCATAAATCATGGATTTTAGATCATTACGATCATCATTCATATCAAGTTCTTAGTAGTTTCAGCATCACTAAATAAGTAACATCCCAGCGCAGAGGTAGACGCCAGACATTAATCTTTTTAAAAAGAAAAAAAGAGTCGCTTTGCAGGATCTAGAAGGGAAGGGAGTAGAAAAAAGAAACTCACTTTTTTCAGCACATACGAAGTGCTAGACTCTGTGTTAGGGAGTGTCAGAAAAAACCACCCCTTAGGGAATCCTCAAAGTCAAAGCTCTAAACATTTGCCTCTAATATCTGAATTCTTCAAACTGGAGGTTGAAGACCGAGGAAGGAGAAACTGACTTTTCACTTTTTACCCTCCTGTTGTATTTTAATTTTTCCAACCACATGTGTTTTACTTTAACTATGCCTGTGACCAGGTGTGACTGACACTCCTGCCATCTTGTACATGAGGAAACCAAGAGTCAACGACACTAGATAATTTTTTGCAAGGTCACACAGCTAGACAAAGAGGGTGCTAGTACTTGCTTTTGAAAATAATACCATCTTCAACTAAGGAGCCTGAGGGGAGAAGGAAGAAAAGTCCAAGGAATTCTTTGGGGACCTGTGTTTTCTCACTGATGAGGACTACTAGGTTGTCCCACAACAAAAACAAGAATAGGGTAACATCTAAAAAAAAAAGCTTGAAGAAAGGGATTTTATTTTTAATGGAACAACCAATACAAGGCATAGGAAGGGAAGCTGACTTCGGCCAAGGAAATGGACTGCTCAGCAAAGATGAGGGCCGGCTAAGATTGGAGCTCATAAATCTGCAATGGAGCCAATGAGCACAATTATATAATTTTTTCCCAGTAGTGCTGGGGAGCCCAGAATCAGTTGATTCAGGGTTGGCAAGACTGATGCAGAGTTAAGCAAAAGCTTGAGAAGTCTGGAGGGGACTTGCAATTTAAAAGCATTAAGACACTGAGTCTGCCTTCCACCGGTGAATTAAAAAAACCGCTGCCTGCCGAATCAGTCAACACAGGCTGCAGCAACCAGCAAGCCACCCCACCCCCCACCCCGTGCTGAGCCCTGAGGGGACTCGGGATGGAAACAGGAGGCTCTGCCATCAAGCCGTCAGTCTCTGCAGCCGCCCCCAACAGCGTCCCCTGAGGGGACTCAGGATGGGAAGGAACAGGATCCTGGCCCCAGAGAGGTAAAGTGCACTTCAAAAGACCGATTTCAATGAGCCCAGACCCTCGCGTCTTCTCGCACACAGAAAAGCGCTGCACGCATTGACGTGAGGTGTCTGGTTTTCCTGATTTAACAGTAACCTCTTGATGCTCCGACTACCTGGCCTTTGTTGCAAAACCCCCTATATATCCTGGCTCCTCCCCCACCTCTTCCGAGCAGCCCCTCAGAGCGATCCGAGAGGCCGTCTCCTGGGCTTGAAGTCCTCACAAAGTCTGCCAAATAAAACATAATCTCAACTTCTAGGTTGTGCATTTTTTTTCAGTCAACACAGCCCTTCTGAGAATACACTTAAAATAAGCGCGAGTATGAGTAAAAGGAATAAAGCCAGAAAAAAGAAAGGGCGCGAGTGACACCAAACCCCATAAAAATGCCAAGCGGGCAGGCAAGGGCGAAAGCGAAAGAGCAGAGGCCGCCTCGGAGCAGCGCAGCCCGCCCCCCGGGGCCGCGACGGGGCTCTGAGCTCGAGCGCAGCGGGTGCAACGCGGGCAGAAGCGAGCGGGAAGCTGAAAGTCATGGGGCTCACTGGCGATCAGAGGGAGAGAAGGCTGTCCTTCCATTCTCTATCCACTCACTTCCATCCCCAATTCAGAGCCCCGATCGATCGTCAGAAAGCTCTTCCCTAAAGAAACTGGAGTGGGGGAGGGTACAGCTCAAGCGGTAGAGCGCACACTTAGCACGCACGAGGTCGTGGATTCAATCCTTCACTTAAAAAAAAAACTAGTAATAAATAAATAGACCTGATGACCTCTCCCCCCCCCGAATAAAATAATAAAAATAAATAAATAATTTTTAAAAGAGAGAGGAAAAAAGAAATTGAAAAGAATTTTTAAAGCTAAGCGTCTACCTTAGATGTTGACAACTCAGAATAAAACTCCCTCATTCTTGTATGGGGGGCGGGGAGGGACACATAACCTGAAAGATGCTAGACTGAGAACTGTCAACCTGTAAAACCCAGAGTGAACAGACAGAAAAATCGACCCTAAAAATCAAGTGATAAAATGTGAGGCACAGAAAAAAAGTAAAAACAAAATTCGAATTATATGCACAAAAAGATCTAGAAGACATTACTCCCAAGAAAACAAAGTCATGATGTCAGGAAAAGGGGACAGACACTCAGAATACAACAAAGAAAAAAAGAAATCATTCTCAAAATTTTTAATTTACATAAAGAATAAAAAAATCAGGTTTAGAAAAATCTCTTCTTGTGGCAAAGGATGTATGAAAAATGAGAGAACAAACTAAACACACAAGCCACCTGTGTATAAGTTCCAATGTCTGATTAACAGGTGTTCTCGACAAGACAGGGATAATGAAGAGGAAAGAATGAGTAAAGCTATAGAAGAAAGTTTCCCTGGGGTAAAAATATGTGTGTGTGTCTGTGTGTGTTACATTAAAAGGGTCCCAAGAGGGTCTAATACGATGAATGAACAAAGTCCTGGGCCAAAACATTCATGCATCCATCCATTCATGCATGCAAGAAGCATTGTTTTAGAATGATGACGGAGGATTAAGTTAAAGTCTGCGAAATGAACAGTGGGACCCAGGCCCCTTCCAGCCACCACCCCCCAGCTCTAGAAGACCAGCAGCCACGCTTCCTACCCTGAAGCCACCCCAACACGGCCCGAGCCGAGAGACAGGAGCACCTGAAGCACCTCATAATCATAACCTGCGAACATCAAAAAAGGATTTGACCACAACTTTGAAGCAAATGCTGAACTCCTCGTTTACTGAGACAGGAAGTCATGAATAAGGTCCCAACTTGGTTCATTTATCTAGAGGTCAATACTAGAAGAAATAACTACAAAGGATTTTAAATTATTGCCCCTGGGAAGCAGGGGTCGTCAGGAGACTAGTGGCTTTTTCCTATTTGTTTATTTTTAACACTTGCTCTATTTTATTTTATTTTATTGGAGGGAAGAGGTAATTAGGCTTGTTTATTTAATTATTTTTTTAATGGAGGTACTGGGGATTGAACCCAAGACCTCACGCATGCTAGGAGTGTGTTCTACCACTTGAGCTATATCCTACCCCCCTCCTACTAATTTTTAAAATTCTACTAATGTTTTCCAGTTATAATAAAAAACAATTTGATAGAAATTGAAATTATTCTTAATGTATCAGTGATGACTAATAGCAATGCTAACCAACACTGGGCACTTCCTGTGTGCCAGGAGAGCCGGGAGTTTTACACGTGTTTCTGGTGTAACCCTTTCCTGGGATCTTCTACAGTCATTAACTACTGCAACAGACTAAATGTTTGGGTCCCTGAAAAATTCGTATGTTGAAAGCTAATCCCCAACGTGACAGTACTTGGAGGTGGAACCTTTGGGAGGTGATTAGGTCATCAGGGTGGAGCCCTCAGGAATGGGATCAGAGCCTTTAGAAGAGGACCCTAGCAGGATGCCTCACCCTGTCCACCTTGTGAGGACACAGCAGATGAACCAGGAAGCAGGCTCTCACAAGACACCGAATCTGCTGGCACCGTGACCTTGGACTTCCCAGCCTCCCAAACTACAAGAAATAAATTTCTGTTCTTTCTAAGCCACCTAGTCTGTGACTAAGATCTGATATGTGTGATCTGTATCTCAGTTCTGCCATCAGTAAAATCAGGATAATAATAGTACCTACCTGACAGGGCTGTTGTAAGGATTAATGAGTTAATATATGTACAGCATTTAGAAGAATGCTTGGCATGCAGTAGTGTTAATATAAAGCTTAGCTATGCTCTAAATATTATTATTATGACGATGATGATGATGATGACAGAAAGATCTCCAACCTATATTGTTACACTTAAAAAAAGCCCAGTAAAGTAGGTATGGAATGCTGCTATCTTTTGGATATAAAACAGGGAACATTGAAAATCCATTATTCATTGTTTCTTGTATACAGAAGCCTTGGCAGGAGACACAAGAACTAAATTAAAGTGGTTGCCTGGTTTGTTTTTGGGGAGAAGTGGGGTGGGGGACTTAGGGTACACCATATTTTCCATCGAATTTTGTTTTTGAAACTATGCGAATGTATCATCTATTCAAAACAGTACACTAAAGAAAAAGAACAGTTTCCATTATGCCAACAAGCATTTCCTCCTCATGTGCAGTAATCCAAGTGCCACGGGATACACTCTGTGAGGGTCAAAAGGGATATAGTCAAAGGAGAGACTCCAAGGGTGCAGCCCCACGGGGAGGGAGGGGCACAAGCCGGACCCTGAGATCCAAACACCGCAGGGCTTTGCACTTAAATCATGATCAGGATGAGATGAAGCACTTCCAAGATACTTACCCCGTCGTGTAAGGGATGTTTATGCCCCCTAGATTAATACTTTCACATCCAACAATAAACAGGGTTGAAAAGCACAGTAAAGACACACCACTGCAGATCATTGCTAGTTTTGCAGACTCTCTTGCACCAAGTTTCAATTTTTTTATGATGTAGCCTCCCAGGACAATCCCAACGCCGGCACTGGGGACAATGATAACGCCTGGAGAGAAGAAAGAAAGGACGGGGTTAATACGAAGCAATGCAAACTCATTCGTTTTCTAATTATTCTGTTACTACTTACTTATTAGCACTAAGGTAAAGAATTTTTTAAATACTGTAATCAATAAATCTTCAATGTTTGTGATTTTACGGTATAATTTATTTTCAACCCATACAACCAACAAAGAACTCACAACTAGAATGTGAAAACACTTACAAAGTCATAAAATGAAGACAAGCAGAAAGCGAGCAAAACTTAAATGGCCCTTCGCTCAGGAGGAAATGCAGCTGACCCATTGAGACAGAAAGGGGCTCTGCCTCCTTATGACCAGGGAATACAAATTCAAGCCACGCTGAAATACGGCTCCATGCCAATGACGTCGGTAAAAACTGAAAAGTCTGACAAGACCACATACTGGCAAAGATACAGAGCAAGGGGCACTCTCCACACGGCTGATGGGATGTAAATTGTGGCAAGAGTTTTGAAAGACAGTTTGGCATCATCTGGTAGAGCTGAAGAGATACATGCCCTGTGACAGGCAATTCCATCCCCGGATCCACCCCCTGAAGAAACTCATGCACGTAGGGACCACCGGAAATGTACAAGATCCCGGAAGCACCACAACAGCCCCAAATAGAAACAAACCAAACGTCCATTAATAGATGCATTACATGCAGTAAAGTCACGTAATGAGATGCCACAATACAGTAATAAAAATTGAGACATGTAATTATATATGAACACAATGTCGGATGAAGGATGCAAAACACAACAGGAAACATGACCCGACAGTATCTGTGTAAAGTTCAAAAACAGGTAAAACTAAATGAGTTGTTTAGAAATGAATATACAGGTGGTGCAACTATGAAGAAAACCCAGGAAGTAATTACCACAAAAGCCAAGATAGTCGGGGGATGGGTGGGATCAGGAAGGGATACAGGGGGCTCCTGGAGGGCTGAAAATACTCCATCCCATGACCTGAGTTGAGTAACAGTTACACAGTGTTCAATTTATGATTACTTATTATCTCTAAGTTTTGATTAATGCACTTCTGTATGCATTATATTTGACAATAAAAAAGAAAAAAGCTAGAATAGTCACATTGCCAGCCCCATGAACCTGGCAATCTAAAAGAGAAACAAACAAAACAAATTAGAGGCTAATAAGACAGTTATACCAAGGGCAGGGAGAATACAGGGAAAGAAGCACCTGAGTCTTCCCTGAGAGAAATCAGGGAGGACTTCACAGAAGAGGCAGTATTTGAGTTGACACTCCAATGATGAAACAGAATCTGTCCAGTGCACCAGCACAGAGAGATATCCTGCACAATGGGAATTCGTGCAAAGAGGTATGTGATAACAGAATTGAAGATTCAGAGTAGCTCAAAGCACTGGGAGTGTGGAATGCAAGCCCCTGGGGGACATGGGCAAGAGACACAAGGCAGAGTGAGACCATGAAGGATCAGGGAGAGGAGCCCAGGTCGTACCTCTGGGCAATGGGAGGCCTGGAAGAATCTGAGCTGGGGTCTGAGAGGACAGGAGGTGGGTGTGACAATGATCGTTGCCAGTGGTGAGATGGAAGACAGCTAGATGGAGTCAAAACTAGAGTCAGAGATGTGGTCAGGAGGGTAACTACAAAGGAACATGTGAGCCATGGTCAAGCTCTACCCTGATAGCACAGTTCATGAGCTGGGAGGAGGAGGGGAGACACCCAGAAGGCAGGAGGGATCCAGAAGCAGCTCACAGATGCCATGGCAGACGCACCGAGTGTGACGGGCCTGTGGTCCCATCAGGGAGCCAGGCCTCACACAGCTGTCTCTGCACCCCAAGCCCAGCAAGACCAGGTCTGGGGCACTTACAGCCGGTGGTGGAATTCATGGCATAGACAGGACGTTCCAACAAGACTGAAATCAGAAGAGCAGAGTCAGATGAAGACGGAAAGGAGATGACTCCATCACTGGAGAGCTTGCCAAGAGCAATGTTCAGGGCGCTGTGAAGGTAGAAGTCAGACTGCCATGGGTTGAACCATCAGCCATGGGGATTAAGAGACTGGAATTCAGACTCTTTCTACAACAGACTAGAAAAGGAAAAAACGGGTGTGGGTCTAGAATTAGAGTGGGTCTAAGGTAGATCTGGAGCTTGGGGAGTCTGTTTGCTAATAGTATGGAGGGGATTTAACCATATTTATATGCTCACAAAAGGGGGCTAAAAAGGAATGAGTGGTTCAATGTGCCAAGGCAAGATCCTTGAGAAGTCAAGAGAATATGGAATTAATAGCACAGATGATCAGACTAGCCCTGGAGAGGGAGGAGAGACGCCTGCATCTGGGCTGGGAATAAGATTCGGGAGGGGTGGAGGTGGGGGATACATCAGTGGGTGGGTGGTGGTGCCTCAAATGGTAGTTTTTCTGTTTTGTTGTTATTGTTATTTTGAAAACATCATGCAATACACATTGTAATAGAACACTTGAAAAACACAGAGAAACACAAACTGCCAGCTTACATTCTGGTATATTTCACTCCAGTCTTTTTTCTATGCTTTTTTTTCGCTTCAAGAATTGATAACATGCTGTAGATTCTGTGTGTGTGTGTGTGTGTGTGTGTATGCATATGTATATATATATATATATATATATATATATATATATATGTATATGTATATCTGTATCTATATCTTTGGGTTTTGTTTCTGTTCTTTTCTGAATAATTGAAAACAAAACTAACTCCCAGAGAGAAGGGAAATGGAGAACTTTAAATACAGCCAGAGGTTGGAATAATCATCGTAGAAAAGCCAAGGGAGCATTAAATTAGAATATGCAAGAGGCTTTGAAAACAGAACTGTGGGTCCAGATGATATTAAATTCCAGAGTCTGCAGCTGCATTGATGCGCACGCTCGGATGGTTTGTTCCTGCGTGTTCACCAACCCAAGTGAAGGAGCAGAGACGGAGCGTTAGATTAATCTAAAGTCTGAGTTTTGCCTGGGTTGCTAGGGGGGGAAAATGTATTCATCTTGTAATCTTTACCACGGTCCTGATTTTACAAAACCAGTAATGGCCCTTTTACAGACGAGGAAGTGACTGGCCCACAGTGGACACAAGGGAGGGGGAGAGACAGAAGGAAAACTGAGGCCTCTGATCCCCAGCCCAGTGCATGGTCCTCAGCACTGCAGCTGTCTCTTAGAACCAGCCGGTACATGGAATGTTTTAGGGAAGCTGACCAGAGCTCCGGGCTTAGATAAGCTGGTTAAGAAAGTACCCTCCTCATTAAGGAACCGTACACATCCCACTTGTACGGATAAATAGGCAAAGCTTTACCTTTAGAGTGAAAATGGTCCACTAATAAAATTCCTATTTCAATTCAATAGTTTACGTAATTATAGTGACTGTGCCCGACCCCAGGATCTCCACGTGCATGGCTGAATTATCATTTAAAAGCGGCATTAATGTATTCGACTCTACATTCTAATTAGTATTCAACTCTAAAAACAGAAAATCTGTCATTAGCAAAGATGAGGTTACATCAAACACAGTGAAGATCTATTAAAATTTTCCCCCGATGTCTCCCTGTCATCTCCATGTCACAGCATGATCAAAACAGAAAGATTCTGACTACTCGTTCAGGCTGATCAGTACAACGCTCAGATCTCCAGCTTGAGTCAGAGAACCACATGTTTCGTGTGGGAACTGCAGGCGTATGGAATCAGGGAAGATTTGGTGCTGGGTGGGGGGTGAGGCGGGGATAGGGAGGCAGTAGAATCTTCTTATGTTCCCTCCTCAGAGCCCCTGGCTCTGCGGAACCCAGCTTTGGTTAGCTTGTGGAGAGCATGGACGGGCTGGGGGTCAGCTCCTCCACCCACCACCCCGCGGCCATCCTGCTGCTAGCCCTGTCTGAGCTCACATTCATTCACCTCCCTGGTTGGTGCTTTCCTGCCCTTCCCAGTGTCCCCTGACCCCAAGTGTCCCTCCTTCAGCCTCCCACCTCTGAGCCTCTGCTCCTGATCCAGCCCCTCTCCCAGCCACAGCCAGACAGTTCTGCTGCCCTGCGTTTCTGTTCCTGGCATCCTCCACTGGCCAAGACCCAGGGAGGGCGGGGGACAAGACAGTGGGGAAAAGGCATCAACTGCGCCCAAGGACATGTGTCTGACTGATGGGGAGAGCAAGGACAGAGCAGCGTGGAGAGATGGGTACCAGGACCATGCCTGGGGCCCAGCCTAACGCACAGGTGGTAGAGGATGGAGGTCAATGCAACTGCAGATGTCTGAGACAGTTCCAGGTAAGAGCGTGGGGCCGTACAGATTCCCTGAGTTTGAATCTCTGCCCTGACGCCTACAAGCTGTCTATCCCCAGGCAAGTTCTGAACATTCCAGGCCCTGGATTTTTCTCATCTGTAAAATGTGGCTCAGAACAGTTTCTTCCTCATAGGTTGTTAGGACTAAATGACTTAAGACCTATGAGATGATAAAACAGTGTCTCACCCATGGCATACCCTCAATAAACGTCAGCGAGCATCACAAGTATGAACGTCCTTATTATCTGCTTACTATTAATGAGTTTAAAATTTGCACAAGTATATTGGAATTATAATTAGGCAAATGTCCATATGCTATTTAACCTATAAAACTGAATTTAAGCTACTACTTAAATGGTCCAACATAAACCTGTGTGTGTTCTTTAATATGTAAGCCTTTGTTTGATATCTAGCTACTATGTCTTCTTTTTATTTTTACTATGTCTTCTTAAACACATTAACCTCTGTTAGCTTTTCAGCTACTGTGTGTATATATCTGAATGTAAAGAACTCATCGCTGCATTAAGTATTGACAAAGAGAGGACCCTGCTCTGTTCATAAGACGTCTGTGAACATCCTACTGCTCGACCCCAGGATCTCCTTTATCTACTCATTTATCCAAGCAAATTGATGTGTTAATTGTCCGATTTCCTTTCTTTCTCTTCTTTCAAGCACAACCCCGTGACATTCAATTTTCAAGTTTTTCCTCTGGGT